TAATACTATTGAGCTAACCAAGATGAATAGTCAATATAGAGATAAACACTGACAAATTCTATCATTATTTCACTCACTTGGTTCTCATTTGCAAGTTTCCTCTTCTTTAATTTTTTCAGCTTAGCTGCAATTACAACAATTCATTATTACACAGAATCTAAAATGGTTATGCTGACTTTAACCTTGAATTCCATAAATCTCACTAACATGCACAATTCACATTATGTTGGGATATTTGTGGATGCAATTATGTTAGTGAATTGGTCATGGAATAAACATAAAAAAGTGTGAATCTGATTTGGGGAATTTGAGCAGTAATAGTGATACGCAGCAATTCTTTTCCCAGAGAATGCATGATAAAAAGCATACCGTAATGGTCATTCAAAATTTTTTTTATATATTGCTATGTGGCAGACTTCATATTGGCACAATATCAGGTCTAAGATGAATTCATATTTTTTGAAAAACAATTTTATTTTAATATGAACAATGATGATTTGCTTTTTCAACTACTGATTAGCCAATATGTGTAAAGTGTAAGAGATCTCCTAACCTGCTATCCGCTACGATAATGCTCAGTGATTTTATGCTATTCATATCTTGGGGATAATTAATTTTAACAATCATGGTTATACGGTTATAACAAATTTGACAGTGCCCAGCCAAACTTTCAAAATTGTTTTACCCATGATGATTGACTACATCACCTTTGCGTCAACTTTTGGATCAGAATAACTTACTGCACTGTACACAGTGAAAAATAAATAAATTTCACACATACTGCTATTTTCAGATTTCTCACCTTTCATCTTTTTGTCATCTTTCTTCTTCTTTGGCCCCAGTATGAGTCGTTGATGTTCTGGGAATTTGTCATAAACCGACAATAGACCACTGCTGTAATACATGTACTGCTGCAGCTAGAAGCCAACACAATAAAACAAATTTGTTGTTAATCATCAAATTCATTCACAAGAAATATAAAAAGGTATTGTGAAGTCGTACTGTTAACTGATTTAGTTGATAACAAGGAAAAGTAAAATAATCAATACCTCTCTGTCTCCATAGATTTCAGTCTGGCATTTTCTTTTATATTTATGCAGTTTCAACATCTCGTGAAGTTCATCTTTGCTCAAAGGTTTGTCGTCATTGTCATCTCCATCACTATCAGAGCTATCACTCAATAATATATTCTGTAGAAAAATAATAATCACATAATAAAAGGAATAACATTGCGATCCAAAAGGACAGAGAAATTTTACGACAATATACTTGTGAAGCACATTCTAATTTATGCCAATAAAGCATACCGTCCGGGCACATCGGTGGACGTGCATTTGTAGTTGAGCCACCAATGATTATTGACAAGCAGCCTCTCGGCTGAGATAGCTCCGCTGTTAGCGATGCACATTTCAATTAAAGAACAGAAGATATGATTAGAAAATTAACAATATGCATAATAGTATCAATGCAATGGGACTTGCTGTTTTCAACAAGAATTCAAAAATATCATTTTTCACCATAAATGATTTTAATGGTTTTTAACAAGAAAAAAATATCACTTTTTACCAAAAATGACAAAAATATTCACCAAAATTAGAGAATTAAAGATATCATTACAAAATGAACAAATCTGAGGGAGGTTCACATGTAGTACCTATATATATAATATCAAAGGAATTGGACTTGCGCTTTTTAACAAGAAGTTGAAAATATCACTTTTTACCAAAAATGACAAAAACATTCACCAAAATTAGTGAATTAAAGATATCATTACAAAATGAACAAATCTGAGAGAGGTCCACATGTAGTACCTATATATGTAATATCAAAGCAATTGGACTTGCGGTTTTTAACAAGAAGTCGAAAATATCACTTTTTACCAAAAATGACAAAAATATTCACCAAAATTAAAGAATTGAAGATATCATGAAATGAACAAATCTGAGAGAGGTCGACCCAAAGTACATATACACCAAGTATCAAAGCATTCAGGCTTGTAGTTTTCAAGAAGAAGTCGAAAAAGTAAAACATTGACACGGACGACGATGGACAATCAAAGTCGACAGCGGAGCTAATAACTAGAAGAAATACTATGGTTCTGTTGATGTCTTTATGAATAAAATGGTCATTGTACATACATACCTTCAGCCATCTCCTGTTCTTTTTCACTCGACCCAAATTATACAGCTTTTTTTTGTCAGCTTTTCTCTCTGTAAGGTAGAGTAGTTGACATAATTCACTAATACTTGTGTTTGCTAGTTGCCATTGTCAGGTCATGTTACACTGGGATCTCAGCATGAAGCACCCCATCCATGCATGAACTTTCACCTTTTCAAATTCATATGAACATCCGTACATTTTTATTTCATTTTTTATTCAGTAATACGTGGATACAAAAATACTAGCTAATAATGCAGCTCAGGGTCTTTCAAACATTGCAATCTGCTCTTTGAAGTATTCTATTGGTATGCAGTCTTCATTTCAAATGAAGCATATTAGTCTTAGTCATACAGCAAAAATGCCCAAGCTTTCGAGTGTGCATCAGCGGTACATATGAGAGCCACATCCGGCCCATTAACGTTTATCTACATCTACTGGTGTTTCATTTATCTCAGTTATTAATCTTCTTTTTACCATTTATAAAAAACATTCACAGTACTGATTGATATTTCTGTGCCTGATGTCACAACATACCAGTAAACAAGTGAGCATTTTAACTTTCAGTTGCACTTGCAACTACTTCAAACTGGAACCGCACTAGAACCCTCAATAACAAAGCATAAGCTCTTGAATGTGGTTAGATTTCAGCTCTAAATATCTTCCTATGTTTGACAGCTAGTTGTGGTTAATGTGGTTGATGTTTTATAAAGGTAAGCCCCACAACATAACAAGATCAATATAAACTCTGTCAATACAACTGATAACTGGTTGAAACTAGTTTGGAGTGCATGCCGCTCTAAATCTATAAAAGGAATGTTTGTCCAAATAGGGCCAGGCGTGATATGGAAACTTATTCCAGGCAATATGAGGTATATAGTAAATTACAGACCCGCCAGAAAGTATTTACGCACA